CTTAAAAGATGGTATGTGATCTAACTTGATTAATCTATGTAAAGATTCAGTTCACATGTCCTAGTCTACCATGCCACAAATTAGAAGACTTAAGCATGTAAGCAGAAGAAGTTGCATCTTTATTCATCTTTGGGATAATAGTCATTACATTGAGTTTGAACATACTCCCTAACATATATCCCTTTTCCACATACACTCCGCTCTTGGTTAAAACGACCTTGTCAGACTCGAAGACCATGCGAAAAACATGTTTGCTGAGAAGAGATGCCAAGACAAGATTCTTACGAATGTCCAGAACATACAGGACTTTGTTCAAGGTCAGCTCCTTTCCTAAGGTCAACTTCCGGATCACCTTTCCTTTCCCCTCAACAATTGAGATAGTAGAGTTTCCCATAAACAACTTCTCACCGTTTGTAACCGGCTCAAAAACTGTAAACAGCTTCTTCACAGAGCAGATGTGGTGCGTAGCCCTAGTATCGATCCACCATTCTCTTAGGTTTGAACCCACCATATTCACCTCAGAGACAATGGTAGACAAGTGCATGTCATCCTCATCATGGGAGTGATCTTGCATATCTGTTATGTGAGCACGAGGTTTGGTCTTATATGGCTTCTTTTGCTTGCGGTAGTCACTAGCCTGATACCCTTCGCTACCACAGTTGTAGCACTTCCCAAAGAACTGATAACCAAGTTCCTGCGGCTTGTATGCCCGTTTCTTTGTAACACCACCCCTTGGCCCCAGCTTTGAGCCCTTGTTCACAGGGGGCTTTTTCTTCATCCCAAAAGATTTTCCGTGCTCAATGACATTGACCTTCACTGAGGAGGTACTTTCTCCTTTCTTTCTATTATCCTTCTCAATTTGGGGTCGGACAACAAGTTCTTTAACTGACATTTCCTTAAGCTTGTGCTTCAAGTAGTTCTTGAAGTCCTTCTAACCATTGGGAAGTTTCTCAATGATCACAGCAACTTGGAATGACTCGTTCAATGGCATCCCCTCTGCAAGATAACTTGGAACTCCTGGACTTGGCTTATCACAGTTTTTGAATCTGCCATTTTAAAGTCCAAGAACCGGCCAACGACAAATTTCTTTGCCCCGGTGTCCTCAGTCCTATATTTCTTGTCCAAAGATTCCCATAAATCCTTTGCTAAGCTCTTGGTACAAAACACATTGTAGAGTGAGTCTGCCAAGCTGTTGAACACATAGTTTCGGTAAAGATAGTCTATTTGCTTCCATGTGTCAAGTGCCATGATTTTCTGCTTGTCTGGCTCATTCTCTACCACGGCTGGAGGATCCTCGCTCAAAACCTTTGCAAGGTTCAGCGTGGTCAAGTAGAATAGCATCTTTTGCTACCATCTCTTGAAATTCACCCTAGCAAATTTCTCTGGGCGCTCATGGTGATTGAGCAGTCCTCCCAGAATAGCCAGAGTGACACCAGAGTTGGCCACAGAGGTCACAGCAATAGGGGTTGGCACGCTAGTTGCCCCGGGGTTCAGGTCCTCACCAACATTAGCAATAGCACCATCATTGGTGACAGTTGCCATTTCTAAAAAATACAACAGAATATCACTTTCTGTGTTTCCAGAAATTAAACTTAACCTTAGAAAATCCTACAGTTGGAAATTTAATTCAAAACTAGTCTCACCACTTAACCTAGAATCGAACATGGTCAAGAATGTTTATAGGAAGACTAGAGGGGTCACATCAGTCCCATTTAAAACCCAGTTAACCTTTTGACAAAACTTTCAAGAGCATGTTGACTCCTAATCTGTGATTAAACAATTTTAAAAATTAAATTTTCCAAAGGATGAACTAGGTTAAAAAAAATCAGTTCCAAACTTACAAACAATTAAAATAAAATTGCTAACAATTACAAGCAATATAAAAATTGCTACAACAATACAAGCATATAAAATGCTTTAATATGCCAAGCAAACAACCTTGCTTTAAAAAATTGGCGAGCAACCACTATTAAACCTCAAGCAAAAAATGCTTAAATTATATAATTCATAAATTTCGCTTGTGCAACCCAAATCTATTTATTTGGTTTTGGTTTTTTTTTTTTCATTCCCTTTCGCATAGGTATTTCTGTAAAAAAATGTTAGTAGAAACCATCTAGCCAACTATTGAATAGTAAAATTAAGCAAAGAATTAAAATGCTAGATAAGTTATCAAAACAAAATACAATTTGTAACTTCACAATTAAATTAAAACTTTAAAATAATATTTGTAACTTCAAAATTAAATTACAACTTTAAATTAAAATTTGTAACTCCACAATTAAATTACAACTTTAAAATAAAATTTGTAACTCCAATTAAATAAATTAAATTCAAAATTTAATTCACCCAATTAAACTACATAATATTCATGTAAATAAATATACAATCAACACTTTTAATTGGCAAGAGTTACAAAATAAAACTATAACTTTAAGAATTAAATAAAAAGTTAATACCTAAATAATTAAAATTCTAGCCATGAGTTACATATCAATTATTACATAATAAACATGTAAACAATTAACATATATTTAATTCTAGAGAAATTACATTGTAAATAAGTCTATAGTAATTAACATGTAAATAATTCTTGAATAAGAAGAATGTAAAATTGATTTAAATCTATAAAATAAAACATGTGAATTAATCTAGTATGTATTCATATTGAACATGATGTTTATTCTAGAAACTAAATAAGCATACAAATTATGAAAGAGAGAAAAATCATTTTGCTTAAATTCAGCCATTCCAGTACAATTATGAATTCAAAAAACCCACCATCTCATATATGAATTTATTAAATTACACATGAGTTTAAAATCAGGGGATCATATATGCAACAGTAACTAGCAACATGTAATTCCTCTTCTTCTTTTTTTGGCCATTTTGTAGGCATGTCTCGGAAAAATGTGTGAAGGAAAATGAATACAAATGCAAACAATGGACAAACCCTGTACATCTTCCAATACACAGACACCAAACGAAAATTGTGGCCAAGGTTTAGTCTAACATAGAGAAACATGTGGTTTATAAAAAATAGACCAAAACAAAACTAATCATGAAAACAGTGGGCTTATTTTCCAAAAATTACTGATACTGAAAATATGTAAAGTAGGTACATAAAATATTTTCTATTTGTTTTCAATACAAATCATGGATACACCAACTTATGTAGTAGAAATCTGACTTTCAAGCAAGAATAACATGGCAGCATATACAATCAAGAATATGTTTGGCACACCAAATATATGAATTGAAAGAAATTGAAACACACTGACAATAACACAGCAACAAGCATAAATATTAATTATGATTAAACTGTGTACATCTATCATATGAATCTATTTGGCCACTTTCATGGGAAAATAAAAAAAAATATGTTTTAAACTTATTTTCCAAATTGTGAAATTAAATAAATAGATTCACGAATAAATCAAAATTATATACCAAGAACACATAATGAGAATTACAACTAAATTACAACAGAAATACACAATACACTAAAATGGTAAAGAAAGCAAACCGAAGCCTGCACGGTAGCAATTTCCTTAAAACAGATTTTCGTCGCTTCACGGGTCGAGTGCTTAAGGAATTCCAGCGTCTGTCTCCCAGGTTACGACGGTCAAAAACTAGCTATGGAAGAAGCACTCTCTGTCTAACTTAGCGAACAAAACACGTGGCAGCACTCTCTCACTGTAGGAACTTTCGAGCAAACTGACTTGTAAAATAAAAGCAAAAATTTCTATGTTGAGATTAGACAGGAGGGTCTCAATTTATACATGTATGAGATAGGAGGAGCCTCCAGCCTTTATGGTTGGTCACTAATGCATCATTAATCTCTGCAATATTGCATGTGTTATAAACATATTATACACACTAATCCCACTACCTCTTTCATAAAGCTAACTTCATGAGACAATTTCTCATTCAATTCTCAATAGTTTTTTGCCCTTCTTTTTGTGGTGTAAAGATCTCATTGTAAAGTATCTAGACCCACTTTGATCCAATACAATAGATGGTTGCGACCCACTTTAATATTTAATCAAAGTTACCAAAAATTCATTTTTTCCAACAAATAATTCTTGGAGGGGGGCTGCGTAAGCATCACATTTGCAATGCTGATATGATGCGAAACGGGGCAGATTATGCTGCTTACATTAACACCGCTCAAGAGTTTGATGGTAGCGATTCTGGTGCCCACCCTGACAAAGCCATATTGTGGGGAAAAATACGAAGTTCGGCAAAGACTGTCAAGGTTTAACTTCTTTTGCCTTTCACCTTCACTTCCTACCTTGAAGTGATTGTCATTAGTGAAATTTTTCTGTTTTCCAATTGCATTGCTTGATCATAGCAGTATGATTCTAATTTATTTCCTCCTTTTCATTGGTTCCAAACAGGTACACTGTGATGCAATTATTGCTTTTCCCCTCGTGGTTGCAGAAACATCAAAGAAATTTGTCACACAAGTTTGTTCGAAATAGTACAAGTAAAACATGTTTATTGTATCCGCAACAAGTGTGTTTGAAATAAGTAGCTTTAGTTCACAAGTTCATGTGAAATTGTATTTTTTTTTCCTTCGTTCAATAAAATGGGTTGCCGGGAATAACCAACTGTAGCAATCCTCTAAGCTCCCTCTATTTGCTGAGGAGCCAGGCAGGAAGAGCCAGACAAAAAGAGCCCAGACAGGCCTGGCAAAATCGTGTCTAATGTAGTCAAGTTCGCTTGCATAATAAATCTTGACAAGCCTATTTCAAATTGTATTAGCAACTCTGAAATTTACTTCTTGTGCTTGTTGGAAACCTCCACAAGTTTTTGAGTTGGTTGCAAATGGATTGTACCAATAATATGTGCTTATTTGAATTTGATTGCATTCATCATTCATATATGATCAGGAGTCACGATAGCTTCTCACTTGAATTTGCAACACAAATTATATAAAGATTTCACTTGAATTAACTACAAATTAGTCTTCATAGCTCTTGCCATTACATGAGTACAAGTCATTGGATGCGCTTACAGATAGTGATTCCATCGCCTAACGGAGCATGAGACATTAAAATGCGGGGATCAGATGCTAGTGATTTGTTCAGTTCAATTGTGAAATGCCTACCGTGCTTCATGCCCTCCGGAACCGATTCCTCAGGCATTGCAACCGACCCTCCCCAGAGTGTGTTATCATAGACAACTATTCCACCAACTTTCACCAGTTTCATCAATCGCTCGTGATAGTTAAGGTAATTAACCTTGTCAGCATCGACAAAAGCAAAGTCAAAACTCCCTTCATTTTCGTTCTGCAACAGAAAACAATATCCACAAACAAGAAAGAGAACATTAAACTAGAGGAAAATGTAATGATATGAAATAAATTGGTTCATTACAAGGTGGCTTTAGAGATTTGAAGCCTGATTTTCATTGTTTTTGGTGTCACATGGGTGATACTATGGCCGGTAAATGAACTCTGAGTGTTTGCCATGGCATAGGGGTTGTTCGAGCAAAGTGAGTAGAAAGGCTTGACAAGTTGCTCCATTGTGTATATTTTCAGAGGGAGGAAGTGTAGATCTTTCAAAGGAAGAGAAAATTCCATTATTGACTTCAACGGATCAGTGCTCATGCAACTATTTTTTTGGCTTAATGAGGACTGCTCTCTTCTTCTTGTTATTCTTTTTTTAATATATACAGATATATTCTTTTACGATTTTTTTGGCAAATTTGTGCATTCCTGTTGATATACTAGGTTTTGTTAAAACAGAACAAACATAAGGATTTACTCGGTTTGGCTTGGCTATAAGCCTATGTTCAAGGGCGCAGAACAACGAGTTTCATTATCAATGTAGAGAGACAACAAGTGGGCTCTCTCTCAACAAGCCTTTCAGAAAAACTCACAAGATCTTCTCAACTCTAGAACTCAATAACTTTACATGTACAGGGATCTAAAAGTTACAATATGAGGCAAAATAGACCTAAGTACAAATATCAGGTCAAGCCTATTTGCTCATTAATCTGGTCATGTGGGTCGCCAATGGGTAGTGAGCATTATCTGGATTGAATTCAGAATACACCCACAGTATGTTTGGTTTGCATGGACGTCTATCTCCCAGGATGAAATGATCAATCAACAAATAAATGCAGCACTACAATTTATTTGTTCAACGAACACACTAAGTGTTTATACTCTCTCACAGAAGAAAATAATGCAGCAATATGAAGAGAATGTTTGCAGAATTATTAAGGAAATTAGAGTAAAAAAAAAACCAAATGAAGGACTAGTCTATTTATAGAGATGAAGTGGTGGCTTGGTGGCTGCTAATTTTGAATTAAACAGGTATAACACCTGTTCAATTTAAATTAAACAGATACAAAATCTGTAGGCACTGTTTGGTTTGAATTTCAAACAATTCAAAGACCTGTTTTGGGTGGATTTGAATTTGAACAGATTCGGTTTGGACAGATCCCAAACTGTGCAAAGTTTCTTAAGAGGTGCAAACCAAAAACTTGAATTTTATTTCCAACCAAATTTTGAAATAAAAAACGGACAGATTTTATTTATAAATAAATAAAATAAAATTCAAATATTTTTTGCCCAAAAAGATTAGTATTGGGCCGGATAAGCCCAACCCAACCTCACAATACGCACCCGCACCCAAGCCCAGGCCCAGCCCGCCCGAGGCGACAGCGGCGCGCACGCGTGTGGTGAGTTTTTGGTCCAATGGGTCTAGTCTATTTTACCCATAACCTCCTTCTCTACAAAACTTGGGTACCCTTTAGGGCACGCCCCAAGTTCCAATCACATGCCTTATAAACCCACTCAAAACTTCTCACCAAATCAATGTGGGACAAGCTATTTTTCAAACCTTTAAGAATTTTCCACCAAAACTCTATTTTCATGAAGCACACTTTGGCTTCAATTTCCCATTCACTCAATAATGGTTTTGAGCAACCAAATATACCACGTGAATCACAACGCGACATAGAATACATTACCACTTAGACCCGCGAAATACGACGCATGGGTCCCACCTAAAAATTAGACCAAAGTTTAGAAAAATTCTATTTTTATTCCCAGATTTTTCCAGAAACCATTCTAACACTGATTATTGTAAATTTTTCATTAGTACCTTAAAATTAAGGAGCAATTACATGTCAGTGACATAGATAACAAAAAATATTAGACGGACCCCACACCTTTTGAGTTACATCCCACTACACAAGGAGTTGCACACCTCATGTTTTACAAAAAATAAAAAAAAATTGATCTTCTACCATGTATTGTTCTTTTCCCTAAAATTGATGAACTCAAGACAATTGTAGAAATGTATTGATCAATCAATAGAGAAATGAACATGAGTCTTACTTGGAGAACATTTGTTAAGTTGCCAATCACCATCCCAACATACTCTTTCTGGGAGGAAAGAGTTATGTTGGGATATGATGAAGAAAGGGTGAAGTAATCATTGCCTCCAATGCTGAACAAGTAAACTGCTTTCTTTAGCAATTTCTTGGCCTCTTCATTTCCTAACTTTTGCTTCAACCACTCCTCCACCTTCTTAAAATAGCTTAATTGCTCATTCAGATCTATCTAAAAAAAACAACCACACACAGAGAGAGACTAATTAGCACTTTTGAAATAAATGCCCAAATTCCAAATCCTTTTTTTACTTACCAAAAAAGAGCTCTGTTTTTATATTTTTGCATAAATTATGAATACACCGCTTGAGATTTGTCTAGAATAATTATTACATCATGCTCCTTCAAATTGCTAATCACATAACAAATGACCTCTTTCATTAATCAATCATTGAATCAATTAATTTTATTATTATATAAAGAGTAGTTAGGAATTTTTGTTTTTTCCCTGTTAACTCTGTTGAATGAAAATTTGACAAATTCTGACAAAAAATATTTATAATTTTTAGAATTATAAGTGACAATTCGTATTTTAAGAAAATTTCATGGGATATTTGTAATTTACCCTATATTTTTTTAAAGATAAATTTGTTGTACAAAAATTGATGCATTTGATTGTTTTGTTTAGGTAGGGTAGGGTTTGAATTTTTTTTATTATATATATAAAATAAAATAAGTTATTAAAAAAAAAAAAAGTGATACATACGGCTGCCATTTGAGGATGAGGTGCTTCAAGAGCACAAGCACCGGCTGATGCAAAGTTGGTCCCGGCTGTAAAATCGTGCTCACCACCAGGTTGCAGGTATGGTGTCAACATAGGCAGCTTTGCAAACAGTGCTGCATCCAATTTTTTATTTATTTATTTATTTTAGAAGAAAAAAAGTTAGGAATTCGTAACACCTTATCATAAGCAAATTAGTGAAACACGAAAAAGTGAGTATAAATAAATAAGAATTGTAAATTACATTTCACAAATAAAATGTTAAATATTAATTATAAAAAAAAAAAAATCATATTTTGCACTCCTGTATTTTACATCAAATTTTACTTTGATCCTTACACATTAAATTATAACAATCAACTACTTACATTTTTAGTTAGGTGACAATGTCATTTTTTTTTCTGTTATTTCACTATATAAGCTTTTAATAGAAGATCCAAATTCGGCTACCTCCCCCATCATTAAGGTAGAACATCATAAGCGAAACTATTGTTAAGGGAGACCAGGGTGTGTGAGGAGTTGATTGTCACAATTTAATATGTAAGGATTGTAAGATGAGTCAAAGCAACCTTGCCGGGGCGATCCCGCAATAGAGGGAGGCGGAAACATGTTCACTGTGTCACTGATTGTACGATTTGAGGGTTGAAGGACGTGTAATAAGTAAATGATTACGAAATGAAGATAAAGGAGAAAAATCACTCCCATTTCCTCCCTATAAACATTTTGTCCCAAATTTTACATTAAATTATGACTATATTTAGCTAAAATAAAACACAGATTATGAACGACTAAGGAGATGAAGTAGGATTTTGCAGAAATTTGAATCACGAAACTATGTTTTCTATAATAACACAGTCCTCCATCTATTCTTCTTACTCTCTCTTTGATTTCTCTAATTTTTTTTTATTTATTATTTTAAAAGCTTTATTTTATTATATAACTCTTACATGTTTACATACTTACCACGTTGAACAAAGTATATGTTAGTGAAAAATGGAGTTAATTTTTTTTCTTCTTTCATTTTGTAATCACATACTTATCACATAAGACCATTTCCAACGGTTTACCAAAGTTGACATCAAATTCAAATTTTGATGAAAAAGTTACTGTTTGGTGCTCCAACGGTTGCACCAAATCGATATCAAATTGAGATTTTATCAAACAATTCATCAAACTGAGGACAAGATACTGATTTCACCAAAACACTGTTTGTGACCGTTGGAGGGAGGACCCGGTCGACCAACCGGTTGCCCGGCCGGTTGACCAACCGGTCGATCGAATTCCTTTCAAATAGGTTGGTTCAAACCGGTCAAAAAAAGGTTCAAACAGGTAAAAAAAAAAAAAAATTACATTTTCCCTTACCGGTCGACCGGCTGGTCGACCGGCCAAAACCAAAACAGAGATGAAGCTGTTCTGATTACATACCAAGTTCTTGATGAAGATGATGAAGCTGTATGTTAACAATTACATACCAAAACCATCTTTATAGAAATAATTGATGAATCTATTGATGAATCTATGAAAGCTGCAATTGTTTACATCATGAAAAATATTTACGTTTACTGGTCGACCAGCCGGTTGACCCATCGGTCAACCAACCGGTTGACCCACGGGATTTGATGCACAGTTGGAGCGAGTGGTATGAGATTTGGTGAAATAGGTCATTTTTTACTCAAATTTGATGAAAAAAGAAATTCACCGTTCGAGATGTTCTAACTAGCTAAATTTTGTTAAAAACTTAAAAAATGAAGTAACAGGGTCATTAACAATTGACCAGTAGTGAAGTATAGGAATGAAAATGAAATTTGATGCAAAATGCAGGGTGCAAACTGTAATTTATTCTTTAAAAAAAACAATGAATGAAAGGTAATGATTATGTGGATAGATCACGTACCGATGAAATCAGGGACAATACGACCATCGCTGAGTCGACCAGTGGGATGATTGAAGAAGGTTTGCCCATATGGGTAATAACTGGAAGCACCTGGTTTGCTTCCATTGATGTACTGGTTGTTTCCTGGATCGAATAGCGAGTCTCCGAACACGAACAAAGCCGATTTCTTTGTGGGTTTCACGGACTCAGTGGTGGTGGATATGACAATACTTGCAAAGCTTGTTATTATTATTAGGACACACAACTCATGAATGCTCAACTTCGCCATAGATGATGATGCTATCTTAACCATCACTCCCCTTATCACTATGCGTTGAAATTGTGACTGTGAGAGAGAGAGAGTTTGTGTGTGTGTTAGTGTGTGTTTTTAGAGGTTTTTTTTATTTTTTATTGGGACTTGCATGTGACCCTAGTTCGGTTTAGGGGAATTTTGAAAAAAAAATGAGCGTAGAAAAAATAATTTTAAAATAATAATAATATAAATTTTTATTACATAAATTTATGTATAAATTACTTGTGTCACTGTCGCTTTTTGTCACCACTTCGCTATAAATTATTATTTTATTTTTTAAATATTTTTTTCATAAAAATAAAAAAAGTAACTATAAATAATACTCAAATCAAGCCTTAAATTTCTACCAAATGGAACTTTTAAGCCTTATTTGTCATAATTTAAAAAAGTCAAAAAGTTAAAAAATTAAAAAGTCACTATCTTATTGTTGGCTTTTTGGCTTTTCGAAGGGTATTTTTGTAAATGTGAGCGTGCCAGCAAGGATCAATCAGTCCTTACAGAAATTGTGATTGCCAACCAATTATCAGACGATTGTGTTTTAGTTCTTTCAGCCTCAATGAAGAGGACTTTTACTGGTGGCTTGACTTAGGAAAAATTAAGAGAAATAACAATTAATATGGAGAACAATGGAAGTATTTCATAAAAATGAAAAACTTACAATAGTCCAAACTCAGCCTCGAAGAGGTTTACAGCAACAGTCCACTTGAATCTACTTGAGACTACTCCTATGAATTGAAGTGCAGTGCAAATATGTAAAGTGCAGGTATTGAAAGTACAGGAATGTAAAACTGGAAAGTAAAATATGAAATAAAGACTGGTGTGTATGATCTGAGTCCGTCTTTTTCCTGGGGGTCTCTCTGCTATTTATACTTGTCAAAGATGACCTTCGAACTGCTCTTCAAACCGTCGAACTACTCATCCATGATCGCTGATCATGTTGCCTTGGAAGTAGCTCCATTATGCCACCATCTGCAGTTAGGCTTCCCTCTTGTATTTGAATTTGAATATGAGTAACCGTTGAAGCCACGTCACCTTGCGTTTCTTTACTGATCCAATGTTGCTCAGACCATGTGAGAACCAATTATCATCACCACGTGTACGATCAGGATTGGAGACTTAAATTATTTTCCAATAATACCCTTATTCTGCCACGTGTCGGATTGTAACTGGCTTTTACAAAATATATAGCTAACACCTATTTAAGTCACATTATCTTATTTAAGTCATATCACTTTTCTACTATATCACTTCAAATTCAATCCATACTCAACTCATATTTTATAAAAAATTAAAAATTGCACTTATTTAGATCATCCCAAATCACTCCTTAGAATCTTTTCTATTTTTTATTTTTAATCAAGTTGATGAACTTCGGAGTTTTTTTGGTTTTTTTTGTAATTTTTTTGTTGGGACTTGCATGTGACCCTGATGCAGTTTATGCTATGGTTAGTTACCCTGTTACTATTCGTGTTGGGATATCATTACGTGATATTTGAATGATGTTTTAATTAGTGAAGGGATAAGACTCACGAATTTATATTGGGTAATTGAGAAATATGAAGAGAGATAGAGATTTGTAATTGATGAAAAGTACTGTCCCTCATGAACAATAAATAATTTTTCGTCACTATCACTTTTTATCGCCAATTTACTTTTTTAATCAAGTTTTGTTATGAGAATATATTATTTTTTTAAAAAAATTAACTTTTTAATTAAAATATGATATGAAAAAAATTATTCATATATTTAGAATAATTTTTTTATTTTTTACAAAAAAAGGTACAAAATACTTAATTTGATTTTTAATTTTTTTGTTAACCTTTTAATTATTTTTGTGATTTTCCAAACTTGCCATGCTCGGAGTGTTTTGTAGCTTATTTTGACAATTAAGAAAAAAGTCATCTTATTAATTTATTTAAATCCCATTACCTTTTTATTTTTTTATATATTTTTTCAAAAATAATAAAAAAGTTCACCTTTTTTTTTTTTCTAATTTTCGGTGCGACATGTACACGACAGTACAATTTAGGGAGTAGCTTCCTCCGGTCCTAGATTGGACAGGAGAGTCTTGTTGGGTCCGTGAAGGTTTATCACATGTCTCATTTCGATAATCAATATGTACAACTCGTCGAGTACTATATGCTTATCAATAATCACATTGATTGGATATCGATAGTTATGTGATCAAATCAGTTTTGTATAAAAAAAACAGTGAACAAATTAACAGTTGACAGAAACTAATTCGATGAGATAGTTATCGATATCCGATTAACGTAATTTTTTACAAACATATAATACTCGACAAATTCTACATATTTAATGATTTGAATTATCAAAACAAAACCGTAATGAATCTCTACGAGTCTAACAACATCCTCCAATCCGATCTAAGATTGAAGGAAAGTTGCTCCCTTCAATTTATGCAATAGTACCCTGCCAGGCTGCCAGTATCACTTTTTGGCCATCATTTTTTTAATCAGTTGTACAATCAATTTATGCAATAGTACCTTACCACGTTGCCAGTATCACTTTTTGGCCATCACTTTTTTAATCAGTTGTACAACTTTAAGGCGCAACAGTCATAAATAAACCCGACCAAAGTTACGAAAGGATACACTAATCTATATAATAAGGGAAGAAGGTTTTTGAATTTATCCTAGAACCAATTGTCCTATTAGGACATTTTAATGATTATGATTCATTTCTGTATTTAGATGGAAGGCTGAGATAACCCCTTAAATATATATCAATCCTAATTATATGTCTACATTTGCTTCCCGCCCAAAGAGTAAGCTTTCTACTTACCCAAGTCTCCCCTCTATTCTATCTTTATCTCTCTCCCTTCTCTCTTCTCACCTTCCCACTTGCCCACGTCTCCCCTCCCTTCTATCTTTATCCCTCTCCCTTCTCTGTTCTCACTCACCTCATTCCCTCTTTATCTCTCGCTCCCTCTCTGTTCTTCTTTCCGAAACTGCTCTCCAGCCAAATCATTTGGTTGTTCTTCTTCTTTCTGAAATTGCCCAGCCAAATCATTCGGCTGTTCTTCTTCTTCCCAAAATTGCCCTCAAACAGATCACTCACTTCGCTCACTCTTCAAGTTTGTCTCGAGTCGATCACTTTGCTCACTCTTCTCAATCACTCTATTCATTATGTTTGACTGCTATCACACGGACTCTTCACATTAAGGTAAAGACTCTTGGCTCCAAATTAAGTGGGTCTTTACTGTTTGTGTTTTCTGCTTTTAACAAAATATGTTTTTTTTTTTTTCCTTTTTCATTGGCTTAATAGTATAGATTAGTTTTTTTTTTTTTTTTTAAGTTGGTTATTTTGTTGAATGAGTTTTTTGGGTTTCATGAATCCTGATTGATGATGATGCCGATAATGGATTTTACAAATCTTTAATATTTTCTTGATGATTTTCTCTGCAACAATTGATCAAACCTCTTGTGTGCTTCAAATGAAACTTCTGTGATTATATATATTTTATAACGGGTATCATAAATTTATCCGCTTTCCCACATTGGAATTGTTTGGGTTATTTGATTCAACCTTCCATTGTTTAAAATACTGTTATAAATTTATTCTCTTTTCCACATTGGGATTGTTTGGATTATTTGATTTAACCTTTCATTGTTTAAAATACTGTTACTCAAAATCCAGAAAAAATTTCCTCTCTTTTTTGTTTGTTTATCAGATTTTCTTTTTCCCGAAACTGCCCTCAAATAGATCACTCACTTCGCTCACTCTTCAAGTTTGTCTCGAGTCGATCACTTCGCTCACTCTTCTCAAACTAAAGGTAAAGATCACTCTGTTTATTATGTTTGATTGCTATCACACGGACTCTTCACATTAAGGTAAAGACTCTTGGCTCCAAATTAAGTAGGTCTTTACTGTTTGTGTTTTCTGCTTTTAACAAAATATGGCTTTTTTTTTTTTCTTTTTCTTTTTCATTGGCTTAATAGTATAGATTAGTTTTTTTTTTTTAATTGGTTATTCTGTTGAATGAGTTTTCGGGGTTTCATGAATCCTGATTGATGATGATGCTGGTAATGGATTTTGCAAATCTTTGATATTTTCTTGATGGTTTTCTCTGCAACAATTGATCAAACCTCTTGTAAGCTTCAAATGGATCTTCTATGATTATATATATTTTATAATGGGTATCATAAATTTATTCTCTTTCCCACATTGGGATTGATTGGGTTGTTTGATTCAACCTTCCATTGTTTAAAATACTGTTATAAATTTATTCTCTTTTCCACATTGGGATTGTTTGGGTTATTTGATTCAACCTTTCATTGTTTAAAATGCTACTCTCTCAAAACCAAACCAAACATACCCTTAGTTTTTCTGGATTAAGTCCTTATTATAATTATTTATACATTTTGTTTATTATGCCTCTGCAAAATGCTGTATTGAATTCCAAGTGTTAATTGAAGAAGTTTGGAATTGTTGTTCATTTTATTGAGTATTGGAATTGCAAGGTGGTCAACTTAATTTTAGATGAAGCTGCTAAGAGGCCAACAAAAATGCTTTAGATAATACAGTGAGGTGTAATGAAAAAAACTTGGTTAGATGTGATTTAAGAAGAGTATAGTTTTGCATGTTGAATGGGGTGGAAAAGATTTCATGCTGCCTACGTCAAGTATTTAGGAGTGTTTTGTTTCAGTATTATTAATGATTGTAGTTAATGTGCGCTTTGTTTTTTTGACGTTTCCAATTTCCACATGTAGATATATATTCATATGTATGTTCAAATTTATCGTATCCGAATTTAATACTTTAATATGACATTTTGTATTTTATGTTTCAGTGAGGCTCCTTGGACTCTTCAATTGATTAATGTTCTTTTGCTAGCAAGGTTGAAGGTTTTATGCAGCAAATTGGCGAGTTTGATTGATTTATTAATAAAGTTTGGTTGCTTGAAATGTATGGTCAGGGTAAAGATCACTCTGTTTGTTATGTTTGATTGCTATCACACGGACTCTTCACATTAAGGTAAAGACTCTTGGCTCCAAATTAGGTGGGTCTTTCCTGTTTGTGTTTTCTGCTTTTAAATTGGTCTTTCATCTAAAAAAATTTCAAATTGGTCT